TTTTGCTAAAAGAAAGGGGAAGTGTAGCGCTGGCTTGTTAACGTGTTTAGGTAAGTTCACATGACAGCTGTACCTGCTGGTACCAACATCAATTTTTTTTCCCCTTCACCCTGAAAATTTCGAATGGTCCCAATTTTGCTTTCGTGGTGTCTGTATGCAGTACTTTACACCAAGGGTAAGACACAGGCAAGCATGTAAAATTAATGTTTTCACTTCTTGTCAGATTTTCTAACTAAAAACATTTCCTCCTAGCAGTTCCATCTCCAGATGTTACCACTGCACCTTCTAAAATTGTAAAACCCCCCTGTATATTTGATATCTTATGCACTCTCACAGTGTTTCAAAGGGAGAGTATATTTGCTGGGCAGGTTGTCGATTGAACATAAAATATGAATGAAATTGTAATTTTATGGCAGATACCGTAGCTGTAACTGTCACAAGCACTCTGTATCCTCAATAGCTAGATGAAAAAACAGTCTGTAAAAACATTTGATTGATTTTTTTTCTTTCCAGTTAAGCCAGGAAAAAATCCTCAAAATTATGAACATGGTGAAAAATAAAGAAGTGAGCATTGAAGGGGCTTTGCATTTGGCACAGAAAGAGCTTTATTCTGAAAAGGTAAGGTCACTCCTTTGATCTGTTTTGCAAGACATTCAAATGTTTGAGTGTGTTCTGGAAAGTCTGGTTGAGTGTTAGGAGCATGTCAAAGATGTAGTCCCAACTGATGCAAACATATACACTCCAGTTTATAACGAATGGCTAATGCTAGCTGTATCCTATGTAATGGATATCCTGTGTAGATGCAGCAGCTACACTGGTGTCATTACCTGGATTAAGTAGTTTAAATCGAAATCAGATGTGTCTGTATGAGTTTTGCTATTCTGAGTGCAGCATCAAGTATTGTAACAATAAATGTAGGGTAAATCCTTGGGCTGATACCATGAAGTGCTTCAGGAAAATGATGGATCTAATCTCTGAGGGGTGTCCTAGTGTTGGGTTGTCCTTGGGGCCTGACTGGTCAGCATAAGAGGGTCTAAGAACTCAGCATTATGCATGGCCACAAGAGTGGCTGGCTACTAAGTGCAAAGCCTTGGCCAGTGTGACGTCAGTTCTATGTTCCTATGGTTAGCTCTGACCAGGCAAAAGTAGAATCAGTGTACAGGTGGCTTGAAACTGCTTTTGGGTCCTACCACAACATAGCTTTGCTGAGTGTAAATCAATGAGACCAAGAGTTCTAGTCCAGAGATTTTTTTCAGGATTAGATTGAGACACAAAAAGCAGGAGTTGTGGGTATTTTGAGCTTGTGAAAATCAGGTCAGGAGGATGCTTCCCTGTGTCTCCATGTGGAGTTCCTCTCCAAAGCCTCCAGCACTGTTTGAACACTGTTCACTGAAGGTGACTTCACCCGAGAAAAAGATTGGATTTGAGCGGACAAAAAATAACAGTGTGGACATAGTGCTGACTTCTGTTTTTCAGGATTCACAGGACTTGCTAACTGGATCACAATTTAACTTCAGTATCTACAAGTACAAACACTATCGGTGGCAGAAACGAATTTTGCAGGTAACTTTAACAATTCTCACTTTTGAAGAAATACATAAAGAATTTAGGATACTTATGTTGCTCAATAAATATTATGAGAGACGTTGCTGAACCACAGGATGTATTAAGCCATCAGAGAGGTACAAGCTATTCACCAACTTTCTACCTTTTACACCAAAATAATTTCTTTAGCAGGCTATGCATTTAATCTGTTTCCTCTGCCCTGTGAATCCTTTTTTTTGACATTGTGAACCCTTAAGGCTTTATTGACTTGCTGTGTCATAAGTCTTGAGAGATATTAAAGCAAACTTCTGTCGATAACACATGATGGTCGTTTCCTGATTCCATGAAATCAGTGACAAAGTTTTCATTTTGTTTCCAGGAACCTGGATTTCACTGAATTTTCCCTGCAGTTTGGACAAAATTTGATAATGATCAAGTCCAAGTCATGCATGCTGGAGAGTGTTTTTTTTGTTTACTGCATCTCAATTGTAGAAAATATAATCTCCTTATTTCCCTCAATATCCACTGGTTTTTGAGTTAAAAGGTTATTTGCTTAGCCATAAAACTGATGGAAACATGGAGAAAGTTATGTTAGATGTGGAAGTTATGAGTTTGGGAATCTGGAGTTGTTAAATTCCATTTCTTTAGTTACCAGTAGCCTTCAAAAGTCAGAGATAATAATGACAATGGTTCTGCTTTAGAGATTTCCTGCTACAAACAGAATGCAGGGAAAGGCCACGGTGTTAGCATTTGGTTGGCGTGGTCTGTGCTATAGGAAAAAAAGGTGCCAAGAAACATTTATGACCAAAGGTAAATATCTAACCCAGATGAGATCTGAGGCTCTTCTGAGTTTGTCTTCCCTGTGGGCCGCATTCACAGAAGCTGGGCAGTCAGATAATATTCACATCTTATTGTACCAACAAAGCTGTTTCTGCTCAGCAGGGACTGACGCATAGAACGGATACCGGCATCTGTCTGTACCACTTTTTAACACTGCAGATATAGATTGTGCAGTGGAAGAAGAGTGATCTTATTTTGAAACAAACAATTTTTAATTGGTATAGCGTGAAACAGCAATAAAATAACTTTATTGGCTATTATCATTACTCCCTTCACCTATATGCACACATAGATGTGTATATAAACATACAGACCAAAAAAAAAAGTGTTAGATGATATCTACCTCAAAACACTGTAATATTTATGTTAGAAAATAATCTCTGAATAGTATCCTTTTCCTGACAGAAGTGGCTGTTATAAAAATAACCGCTTTCATTTTAGCACTGGGGCACAGGCTGAACCAGTTAGTGATGGAATCTCTGCTGAGATGGTCATGCCATTAGTTTGTGCTGCCACTATGCTGAATGGGAAGTTTTTGCACTGGGTTGTATAAGACAAGGAGAATTTAAAAAGAAATGATATTTCACAGTGATAAATTGATGCATATTCATCAAAAGAGATAGGGAAACACAGTTACAATGAATATGTTTGTTTTGTAACTAAAACAAATATAGTACAGTATCTTGATGATGAAATGTCATTTTTTATTCTATTCATCGGCAAGATAGATACATATTCTAAGCTGGTTCTTTATCTAAATGCCCTTGCATGATAATATTGGGGATGCTGTCTTTCCCTTTCAATGAAGAGAAGCGATGGAGTCAAGTAATAAAGAACTTTCTATTCCAGATTGATTTCAATACAAAGACCATTTTTAACATTGAAAAAGGAATTATTAAGAAACAGTTCCCTTTCTCTCAAGTCAAAGCCTGTGAAGATACTGAAAGGAGGCGCTTCAGCATTGTGTTTCATGGGCGACAAGATTATGAGCTGGAAGCAGTGTCTCTTGATGATAAAAGGAAGGTAAGTTTTTACAATGTCATAGACAGATTGCTATAAATAACAGCTGATGTTATGGTAGTACCCAGCAGGTCCCAATCATAAATGGGAATTGTTATGCTGTGCATTGTGCAAGCAAAGAAGTAGGTATGTCTTTATTCTGTGTGTGTTTGTTGATAGAACAAAGGGCATGAGAGTTCAGGAGAAAGTTTAGCCTTAGGATTTTGCCACAGTTCACTAGGACTGAAGATGTAAAGCCGTCTCAGGATGTGATATGAAAGTGGATGCATTGCTTCGACTACACCTTGAATGTAACTGGTCTGAGATTGTATTGAAACAAGCGAACAAAACTGATTAAACCTTAACTGATATTTTCTAAGCAGCATTTTTCCTATGTGTATTTTTTCAAATGTGTGCTTTTAAGAAGAATGAATGAGGCCATCCTGATGCTCTGAAAAGAAAAAGATGTAGTAGTTCATCCTTTACCATCAAAATACACTGAAATGATAAAATTACCAGAGGAAGACAGCCTAGGTACAACTGGATATTTGTTTAATTAAATGAATCAGTGTTGCAAGATTTTGAATGAGCTGTTTCATTTTGACATCTCAGCTCCTTTTGACTTCTAGGTTCAATTAAATATTCCAAGTAGTTAGAATAATTAGACTCTACACTGAAAGCTGAGAAACTGCAGTTGTGACACTAGCACTATCCGTGTGTTCAGGGGTGATCAAGTCTTGGACTTTGTGTTGTCCCACTGCTGAGGTGCTGACTCCAGCTGTGCAATTCAGGTTGAGACACAAACTCTCAAAAATCTTGCTGGAGTTTGCAACAGAACTTCACATGTGACCAATTTTTAAGAGGCTTTTTGTAGAGGGGTTCATCCCTCATGAAAATTAATGGTTCACTCCATGTGCAGAAACTTTTATTGCCGATGAACAATACCGCTTGGCTGATTAGCTAAATTTTCAAAATAGATTACATTTAGCAGAAGAGCTCAAAAAGGCACATGTATTCTGTAGTAAAAACACCTAAATATGGCCCTGTATAAGAAAAAGAGTGTCTTAAATTCACACTCACCTTAATCCATGCTATTTTCAACTGTGGGCAAGCCTTCATTTTTCTGCTGGGTTCGTTTGAGATTTCAAGTTAAATCAATCAGTTACTGCTTGGGCTTGAACTGAGCTCAGCAAAAACTTTGTCCTAGATTGCTTTGTATAGGAATTGAAAAAGTAAAATTATGTTTTACAGAAACCTCCTCCTTACACTGACAGGTTTAGAACTGTGGGCATAAAACCAAATTGCTGTTAAGTAGTTTAGAATCATAGAAAGACCCTATTTATTTTGCATTAATTTATGTTACCTATTTGGCTGCTGCTTATAGTGTTGTCTATCATTTTTATACCTGAAAAAGCCACCTATTAATGTCTTATTCAAGGGAATTAACATGGAAAATATACTCTCTCTGCTGCCACTTATCATATAGATAACATACCTTCTGAGCAGAGTTATACAGAGCAATTCTTCTAAGAGGCCAGTAGACTCCTGCTCTGGAAGACCTCCAGAATGTGACGTGATACACGAAGGACTGCTGGATTTGCAGCAAAACACTTTCACGTCCACTGAATGGGTGAAGTACGAACTGCACTTTTGTAGACCTCTGTGTTATGGATTTTGTTAAAATTCCTGATACTTTAATATTCTAATTTGCTGATAATAAGTTATTTAATTACTTCTTGAAACTTAGATGAAAACTGCATGAGATTAAAACATTGAAATTAACTGTTGGTGCAAGAGCGTTACCCAACAAAATGAAGTTCTGATGTGTGCTAGAGACTGCTGTGTGCATTACTAACACAAATATACAATGGTGATGGTGCTCAGAGGGATTTTAATGATGGGACTTCTTTATGTTTACCTCTCTGCTTTTTACTCCAGTCATAAGGAAAAGGAGAAAAAAACTGGCAAAGCAGATGAAGAGTATAGGAGTCTTGCTAGAGAACATTGAGTCACCCTGGCTAAATAGCTGCCCCAAAATTCATGATTAATTCTCGTAATGTTCTGAACTTCCCTCCTTGGGGGGGTGACCAACCGTGGTGGCCTAATGGGGTGGTGGTTGCAGAGACAGGAATCATTATTCAGTAGGAAATGGACTGTCACTGCCATTTCCTTCAGCCCCTAAACCATCGCAGATAAGCATGACTTCTGCTTCTGCTTGTTCTATTACTGAACTAGCGAACCAACCACAATGGTTTTACAGAGTTTGCAACCCATCCTACAGACAACCCACCCTTTCCCCGAGCTAGCTTCTAAAATACCCAGAAATTGCTTGTACTATCAAAGGAGAGAGAGAGAAAAAATGTCTACTAAAAACTAATGAAAAAAAGTTAGCATTGTAATTATCTGCATAGGGCAATTATATCAAAAGACTTCACAGTTAACAGAAAATAATTTTAATTGTTTTTAAAAGGCTACCACTGTATGTCTTGTAAACACTATCCTCAAGTGTGTCCCAGGATTTGTTACCTTGCAACATTTAACAAGTTTGCTAACAAAAAAAAATTGATTTTTATTTATCTTGTGAAGCACAGCCCTTGTTGCTTTCTTCTTGATATTAATCCTCTCTTTTTTTTTGGCAAAGTAAATAATGGTGGAAACATCTGGAGATCCGATTAAACTATAAGTCCCTGCTTTAAAGAAAGGAGAGATCAATATAACTGCCAGCTCCATTAAACAATTCTTATCATTTTGAGTGTTTATGTGGGAATAGATGCAATTTATATTTTATGTTTAATTCTTCTGGAGCAGCTGAACTTATTTAAATTCCTCATAGAACACCTTAATCAACTAGCCACACCTTACAGAGAGAGTGGAGGAAAAGAAAGGTCTGATAGAACTGTCAGAATGATAAAGAAATGCAGTAAGCCTCAAGAAAAATGAGAGTGCAAATGCTTAAATAAGAATAAAAACCACATACAGTAAAGCCCCACTTGTTGTTGAATGTGGGGCCTTTGTTATGAACAGCAGAGCAGAATCCAAGAAGAGAGACTGAAGCAGAACATTTTGCTGTAACAGAAGCTGCGTGTGGGCAGCCAGTTTGTGCCAGGATTAATTTACAGTTTAAGGAGGTAATACCCACACGTTGACACAGTCATTTCTGATGGAAGCCCTTGAGAGCAGAACATTTTGACCCCTCCCTGCCAAGTGATTGTGGGAATGAGAGCGGACCAGGATATGTCCTCATGGAGTAAGAGCATGTGCAGAGGTCTTTCCAAGAAGGGGACAGTTATTGGACCATAAGTTTGAGCACTAACTTCTGCTATGGTGACTTGTTTATAGTGGTGGCAGTAAAACCTGGAAGACACAGAATCTCCAAAGCTTCATCATATGATGTGCTACAGAGTCACATAGTGAATTCCTTTAAAAGCTCGTAGTCCAAAAGACCCACCATCGCAAACAAGCGAGAGGAATAAATAGAGTGGGAGGGAGAGAGTGTAGTTAACAACTTAACAGGACTTGTGTGATTTTTAGTTGATAGTCGGATCTTCTTAATTTTAGATCTCTCATTACGTGTGGCAGGCTGGAAGTTCGTATTTTATGTCACAGTTTACTCGTGTGTCAGATGAGAATAAGAAGCCCTCATCTCAAAAGTTTTATAATTCAATATTGATACTTTTTGACTATTCCATGGAAGATGCTATAAAAATGTGGAGACTTATTGACATTAGAAAATGATTTATCAAAGGCAAGGCTTGTGTAAATAAGTATTCGGTGAAGAGTGATCTGTATGTCCGTTCCTTGTCCTTCAGGTGCTTGGTCCAACTACGTGAAGGAGAACTGACTTTCTATTGCATAGGTGTGGGACGAAAGAACAAGACTGCAGATCCCGTAACAAATACAATTAATTTGTCAGGTGGTAATGTGAGTGTCAGCAAGGAGAATGGATGCAGTGCCTTTTCAGTTCAGACCAAAGAACACAATTATTTGTAAGTATAGTTGGTAATTAATAATTTGTTAAAGCAGAACTACTGAAAACAAGGTCAAGCAACAGAGAATCTCAGTGTCCCAGAACAAAATACAACCATGGAGAAACAAGGTCGAGAGAATGATATAGATTACCCGTCCCATTGCTCTGCAGTGATTTGATGGGTATTTTAAGGAGGAATAAAAAGTAGAACATTGTGGAATTGAGAAGATACATTGAAATACTGCCCACAAAGCCTTGTCTATTCATGTCAGGAGCCAGTGAAGAGGTACATCATGCAGCTTGGTAGGACAGATGTGTGAACAGGTTCTGACCAGCTCGTACAACAAGCACAGTAAGACATAGCACATTGTTCACCTTCCCTCAAGGTGGAGAAGAGGAATTATGAGGTAACTGCACCACAGAGTCAATATATGGCAAAACTTCAGCTCTCTAACCTTAGACACGTAAGCAATTAACTCTGTCTGAAAAGGTCAGAGTCAGCAGCACTGGGCTCCTTTGACAAGTAAAGCTGCTGAACATCATTCTGCTTAAATAAGAAATATCTGTGGCTGTATTAGTCAGCATGTTATTTACACTTCCTTGTGTTTATATGTGACATTCTTAAATTTCAGGTTTCGAATACCCTTTACTGTCCAAAATAACAGGGCAGAGGATGTTAGCAAGCTCCAGAACGAATGGGTGTCTCTCATAGAAAGGTACTGCCAGCTGCACAAGACTGTCCCGCTGCCTCTGGAGGAATCACCTCCTCAAGGATTTATCTCATTGGAACCGGATTATGTGGATTTTGCTGTACCTCTGAATGAACAGAAAGAGGAAGCCCTCTACTTTGGTGTGAGTTCTGCAACGACGAGTCTGAACAAGTCTTCAAGCCCCCAGACAAAGCCCACAGAGGGGGAAGCAGCCCCAGCATCACCATCTCTTGCACCTCCCATGAGTAAGGCAGAGGTACCGCCAGCCCCACCTGCCTTACCGCAGCCCTGCAGCCTCTCTCCATCCACAAAGAGAACCAAAGCCTTTCACTGGGATGTTGTTCCTTGTGACAAGGTGAGGTTAAAACTCAATATTGTAGCCTGTATTACATGTATAGTTATCATAAAAGTATAGTTGTGCCCCAAAACAACCTGGTTACCCTTCTCTGTGTCTGGATGGAACAAAGTGCCTCTGTTCTTTTGGCTTTTTGTTTACCCTGTCGCTCCTGTATTTTTAGATTCAAAAATCTGTCTGGGGATTGTGTGACCCAAGCAAGAAAAGAATAGATGTGTCCAGACTCTGTGATCAGTTCCAGATCCAGGACATGGCAGTATTTTTGGGCAACGAACCTTCAGTGAATCAGCACATCATGTTAGATCGAAAAGTTGCACATAACTTCAGTAAGTGTTTTAATAAGATCTGTATACTCCTATCTGTAAGCCTGGGGTGAGCACAGGCAATGAGACAAGCCTGTGTCTAATCTTTTAATTCAGGACCCCTCTACTCATTTATAAAAACAAACCTTGTGTCTCAGTTGCTTTAAATGTGGTCCTTAAGGGTGTAGAGTAGAAGCACCAAGCTTCTTCTCTTGTACAAAACATGGATGTACCCTTGAGCTGTGATGCTGTTATCTTAGGGCAGACATGTAAAATCATGTATGGCACCTGTGAAATCAATGTTTAGCCTGACTTCAAAGGCTTTTCAAATTCTGTGAACTGTCCAGGTGAAACAAGTCAACAGAAACAGCTTGGTAGCTAAAACTTTGAGTACTAGGCTCAGTCTTTCTCCTACATCGAGTTCAAGAATACTCATGTAGATGCAGGTGAGTTGGTGTAAGAAGCCTTTGAGGCAGCTACCAGCGAGGTCGCAGGAGCTCTCTTGGGCTTTCTCTGGCTGACAGTTCAGACTGTGAAAGGCTGTCCTGAGTGATCGTGAACAGGCCCCCTCCTTCTCCTACCCCAGGTATGATGCTGCCAAAGGCCTGACCTAGAACAACCTTTCACAGCTAATGAAAGAGTTCAACACATAGTTCTGGTCTTGCTAATAACATGTTATAAAGGTCTTTCAATTACTTTGATGAGAAGTAGTAGATATTAAAGGAGCAAGAGTAATTGTTCTTCAAAGACACTCTGATTTCTTTTACAGAGATGGCTTTCCAAAAAAGTCCTATAACCTAGCGATGTTTTAAGAAATGTTACATGTGTAAAGAATTTGGGGCAGTTAATTTGGAAGTTTTAATGATTTCATCTTTATGAATATTGATAAGAAAGAATATATTTTGGAGATTATGTAAAGTTTTAATTGGGAACTGTAAATGGAGATAACTTTTTGGAATTATTGCATACATTGACCAACAATTTGAAGGGTTAAAAGGAAGTGAGTGATACGAAAGTGCTGTTGCAGATAAAAAGAAATCTATAATAGCACTTTTATCTACTAAATTATTGCAGTTTCTTTGAGGACATGTCTTTCTCTGGGTTTGCAAATCGCACCATTCTTCCTTTTGATCCTATTCCTCTAACAACTTTTTTCATTGAGACATTCTACATCCGTTTCTTAATCTTATTCTTAATGTCCCATCAGTGAGATTTTTGGCATATACTTATTATAATGGACTTTACTTAGATCAAAAGTTAATTTGATCCTGAGAATTCTGATTAATCTTCCTGCAAGTGCTGCAAACCACAGTTCTTAAATTAATGAATAAAAAGATGAAGCCCCGAAATGCCAGTAGGTTAAAATTTCTTGAGAATTTGAGTGGGTTTCTGAACACAGGAGAAAAATGAGGGTTCTGGCAGAAGATCTCAATGTATTAGAAAATGCAAATAAAAGCTAAGTATATCTAGTGGGTTCTTGTACACAAAAGTAATTCCTGCCATACAGAGAACAAGTGACAGAAAGACAGAGACAAGAAAAACATCCTTAGATTTCCAACGGAAAAGTTTTGGGAGACACTATAGAGTATATGTTAATCTAAGAATGTGGGATCTAGTGGGTGAAAAACTGGTTTAGGAGTCGAAATACCAGCTTCTGTGACTTGATCAGTGCCTGTTTCTCTGTATGAGACTCGGTTTCCCATCTATGCAATTCTTTTTTTGCCTAGGAAAATACTTTGGCAAAGTCTGAAGATTAGAATTTATTCAGCAGCTAATTTCAGCTACAGAAAACGTTCAAGAAAGTGTTAAATGCTTTGCAGACAGGTTGTGAAAATTTTAAAATGAACATTTTATTATGAGTTATTCACTCTGTTATGGTCCGTAAACATCACCACACCTGAAGAGATGCATGGTTTAAAAGGCATAGGGAAGTAAAAGATATAAAGCACAAAAAGAATAAGAAAGAAAAAGGGAAGATTCTGACAGGCTTAGCACTAAAGCTAGATCTTATACAAAATAAAAAGGGTGGAAAGTGTGTCAGAAGAAGAATAAATGTTGTCTGCTTCATTGGCCAACAGTCTCCTGAGAACCATTAATAGGTGATTTGGGCCACAGCAAGTTCCTATAACCTAAAAAACTCTGTTCTTTTTTACAATTGGAGAAAAAGAAAAGGTAAATCATACATATTCTTCCTGAATTCTCCTTCCGAATGCCCTTGTGCTGCTCAGAGGAGTTCTGTTGTAGCAGAGACTCTAGGACAAGTTTCATGCCAGCACTGAGAAGCTTTTAAGCCTTGTCACCTTCTCAGCTGATGCCCTCTCTTCACTGCCTTGTGTTTCCTCTTTTACCTTCATCCTTTGGTAATGATGGTGGAGACAGACGGTAATTAACAAGTAACTGTCAGGACAAAGTGGTGCTTTTGGGAACAACAGCCTTACGAATAATTCTTCACCTGTTTGGGGAAGAGACATCTTATTTCTGTTTTTCTATCAAAATGTGCATTACGAGCCAGCCCCACGTCAGCACAGAAGTCTTAAACATTAGAAAAACTCTTAATCAGATTTCAGAATATCAGGCAGCGTGGAGAACTGAGCACTTCTGTTTCCCAGGTTGCCTTCATTTTGGGAGTAATGGACTCTACCTGCCTTCTTTTGAACCCTGGAAATTAAACAGAGCAAGTAAACAAAATAAAAAAAAATTGTAAAATTTAATTTATTTCACCTTAAAATAGTAAAATATGCCAGTTCATTGTATTGTTATTGGAAAAAAAAATCTTTTGACTGTTGAGCTGAGTACAAGAGAAATATATATGAGCAAGTACTTGAGTAGCTTCCCTTGAGAGTCCTGTCTTAAACATTGATGATGTTCTGACAGAAATATATTTTTGCTTCACTGTTGCTATGCATATTTAAAGAAAATACAAAGACCTAGTTTTTGCCTTAACATTAGCAACTACTAAGTGTTTTGGGTTTTTTTCTGGGTTTGTTTGTGTGTGGTGGGTTGGTGATTTGTTTGTTTTTAAATCTGGAAAGTAAGTATGAAATGTTTTTGTGACTTCCCTTCCCTTGAGCATTTTCTTCCAAATAATCGAAGAATCATTTTCCTCCAGACATTTTTCTTAAAAGTTTCCATATAAAACCAAGTGAGCTGAAAGAAAAACTATACATCATACATGAAGAGAGTGGTGGACTTACAGATGAGCAGATTACAGCACTAAGAAGGTAATCTTTGGGCTTCAATTGATTGTTTATAATACATGCTGCCTTTTGGAAAAGGCGTAATCTTCTGCAAATAAGGAAAAGTTTGGGAAAGATGCCACTAAGACATTGGATCTATCCTGACTGCAAATATAATATGAGGGTTGCACAGAGAAATCTCAGTCCTCGCGACTGAGATTTTAGGGTATGCCCCAAAATATCACTTTTCCCCATGTTGCGTAGGAAAGGGGACTGCAAGAAATGACAGCAAATCCGATGCGATTTTGTGAACTACTTACAAGGAGCAGAGTTGGTAAAATAATAAGTTGTGGCAGTGAGCAGGTGTAACTTCATGAGAAAACTTTACAATATTTCTTACTACGGCCTTACCCTCTATTGTGGAATCAGAAATGAAAGATTTAAAATTGGTTTGGAGAGGAGGAAGACAGACAAGTGTTAAAGGAGCTTCATGGGATGATGGGATATTAAGAATATCAGTATTTCTGAGTGGCAGAGATTTGTGGGTTTAAAGCAGAATGCAAATTTCTGTATCTTTAAAAAATTGAATTACTATATTGAGAAAAATAGATTTTGGGAGTGTAAGCAAACATGGCATGTGAAATTTGTAGGAAATGGATTGCATTTCTTTGAATAGTTTAAGATATAGAAAGAAAAAAGTGGAATCCGTTATCCATCCCAGGCCCCATGTGATACCTGGGCCATTATATTAAACACATTCATATGAAAACTTGGTGTGAAGCTGTTTCTTGCATGAAAATGAGAAAAAAAATTGAGCGCTCTCTAAAGCGAGCTTGGAAAAAGATGATGCTGGCAAAGAAAGCGCGGAAGTAAATAACTGATGCTTTTTACTTGTGCAATGAGTTTAATTTTTGCCTTAAAATCTTGATCCTAATGATTTCATCAACAGTAATTTTAAAACCTACAGATTCATGTCTGTACCTAGAAAGTGATATCAACAGGAAGAACAGATGTGTAACGTATGGAATTAATGTAGTTCTGTGAGATGACTTGTGCAGAACTTGCCTGAAGTTTGAAGGGTCATGGACAAGACACTGAATATTTAAATGTTTTATATCTATCAATCTTCTGGAGGAAGCTTCCATGCTGCCCCGGTGCATTACCAGTTACACCCCACACTGGTGCACAGAAGATGATGAGCTGGCAAGAGGTGTAGAGCCTCACTGAGGGCAATGGAGCTCTGCTGGAATTGGTCAGGAGAGAACTGCAGTGAAATGTCTTGGACATGGAGAGTGCTCTCCAGTTACATGTGGGGCTCCAGTCCTGCAGCACAGCAGAGTGCTTGGGGTCTGGCCAGCCCTGGGTACGAGAGCAGCCTCTGCTCACACCATGGTTTGAAGGAGAACGTTGAACATGCCCCGTTGTTCAAGCCTTAACACAGCACTGCAGATTCAGTCCAGGATCTCCGCACTGTTGAAAGCGATGTGACACCACTGAGATCACTGATGTATAGCGTCTGGGCTCTTTGCCATCAGACAATAATAATGATGATGATGATGGCAATGAAGCTTGAAAGATTTTAGTTTTTTCCTTGAAGATTTCAGAGTCTTCCTTTGATAGCAATAATACTGAGAAAATTTTTCTAGCAATAGAATGTGTAAGATATATTGGATGCTGTATTGCTCTGTAGCATCAAGGATTCTGTTCCTGGGATTCTTATTTGTTGCCAAAATCTAGCAGTGCATGTACAAATCTTGTAGTGAAAGGGAGATAATTTTTTCTATCCCAACATCATCTACTGAAATAGATGAGGTGCATTTCAGAATTCAGGGTTGCATTTCCAAGGCAGGGCAGTGTCAGACATCTCATCGCAGGAGCAGACACTTATCTTGAAATATCAGCACTCTGAAGTTTCTCTTGTACAGCGCACTGTAGAGGACTCGGCATGATGGAAGTAGCAGGACACTTAGCACTTTTGAAGATCTTTCCACTTGATTTAGGTGCCATGGTGGAAAATTTTACCTTTGAAAACTGTGGCCTCCAGTTAATTGAGAACCTGTGGTTATGACAGGAGCTTAACCAGGATAGTCAGGGGCTGGAAAAATTCCTCTCTGTGCAAATTACACCTGTCATACTGTCTAAGCCTGAGCAGGAAGTCTAAATTCTACTCTTGCAGAATGAAAAATATTTAAAGCCAAAACCAAGATTACATTTTCATGACTGCGAGCAGTACGCAAAATGTTCTGCTCGTGTATCCAGTGAAGGTTAGTGGAGGTGGTGGAATATTATTAGAAACTTCTGGACTTATTTTGATACAGAAACTTTTCCGTAGTTAGAATAATTCTTTATGCTGGTGTCTTAGAACCAATAGCAAAGCAAAGACTCTTTGTCTCTATAGTTTTTCAGAACAGTGGGAGATTTTTCATGGCACGAGTTCCATTAGAGTTGCACTAATGTAAAAAGATATTTATGGAATGCATTCACATATTCTTGTGCTTCCTTTTCCATGGTTTCCATTGTTTAATGCTTTAAGCTTTAAACCTTCTAGATAATCTGCTAGTTGTATTTCATATACATAATATGTTAAAATAATTTTATGGGATATCAGACTTCTGATTAAATGAAGATATTTGCTGTCTGCTTTAAAAAAAAGTTCTTTGAAATTACTTAAAAAGTTAAACTATTTTTAATGATCAATAAACCCCCTTTCATTTGCCAACAGATAACTGTCATTTTTAAATGAGAATTAATTTTTTTCTTGATAATGAAGGTTGATGAATGGAATGTTTTGTAATCTGCTTTAATATAGATTTAATAATGCAGAACCCAGTAATTATTCAAGCGAAGTAATTTTAAATTATTGACAACAGTAAAAAAAAAATCTTATTGTTTGTCCTGTATTTAGCATGATAAAAATCTTTGCTTTATTTTGAATAATTTTCCTTATGTTTAATGAAAATGTATAACTATCCCCATGAATGTTTAATCAAACTTTCTACAAATTTAGTAGGTTGTTTACAGAGAAAGGCAAGAAGATAGTAGACCTGAATTCTTACTTAAGATTCTTAACACTCCTGTGTTAGCTATAACATTGATTTCATTTTTCCTAAGCTATGCTATGAATTCCCATAGTGTATTGGTCAGACAGGCAGGAAGATCTCCAAAGCAGGGGAACTGTGGTGGTGTGCTTATTTTTCCAAGTGGAGGCATGTTTAAAGACATCAGTTTTCTGAAAATCTGCAGCTCTGGAGTACTGTGGGAGAGTATTCTGTTACCTTACGCAGAAGGTTGTGGGTCCGTGTTACGTGCTATCATAACAAAAAAAAAAAAAAAAAAAAAGTGGATCTTGGATGTGGTGCAGTGCTTAGAGAGACAGAAATGCCATTGCCTGTTCTTGTTTCATAGGCAATTTTAAAAGTTTTAGAGGTAGGAGTTGGTCAGGCCGTGGTGCCCAGCTGTTTAATCACACCATAGTGTGTGCCTGCTCTGCTTTTGTGCTAATTTTTTGAAGAAGTTATTGCTGGAGACAAGCTGAGCCAGCATGGCCATAGCAGCTCAAGAAGAGTATATTGTTTCTAGGCGTTTGGAAGGGTTGTCAGATGTGTGAAAACCAGACACGTATGTATCAAGCACAGAATTAATGAACCTGTTTGGAAATTATGACCTTAACTCCTCTGTCTGGCTTTACCTTTTCCAAAATAGCCCATGCCATTGTAAGTTGTCTGTAGATCTGCAGGTGAACACTACTGACTGTTATTTTCAAGCCTTACATATATATATAAGCATTTCCAGATATGCAGATGTATCTGCTGATCATTTTTGCTTTCCATTGTGCAGTTGGCTCAAACACCTATAAAGTTCCAATGGTCAAGAATCAATATCCATTAGACACACTAAACAGTAAGAAATTCTGATGCGTGAAATGGAATGATTGCTTTATGTTACAACAATACAGAATGAAGAGGACATCTAATTTTCATTTGCTGTTTTACAGATACATGCCAACACCAAAGGATGCAGAAAGGTACCAGTCATTCAGGGGGTCCCCTTCAGAGCTGCATGTGGTTGATCAATTTATGTTTGAGGTAAGAAGGTGCAGCATTAAAAGATGCCGCAATGCTATTTCTAGGACACCATAATCTAGGTAAAACCACTACAAGAAGCTGTTGCTTGGAACTTAAATTTGCAATCTCAGCCAGAATCAGTGTAAGAGGATTTATCTGATAAAAAGTTGAGACAGGAAGATATTATGAAGAGAACTGTCTGGATCCCTTTGTGTTTCCAAGTCACACACCTTCCACTTGCTCCAAAGTAAAAGTTGATTTATTGTGAGCTAGATTTCCAGAATTTATAACCATAAAATTGTATGCATTTAACCATTCTTGTTCACAAGAAATGAGTGTCATTGATTTTAATAATGTCTGACCCTACAAGCATACAGTGTCCTCTTGAATTTGCATATGCAAATGAGGCATATTCAGGTGTGTGCCATAGTATAACTACAGACTTATAGCCTAGAGTAAAATTAATAAATGAGCGCAGAAATTAGGAAAACTATGGTGCGGCTGAATTACTCAATAAATTATGAAAGATATGTGCATGTTTTGGTATAAACATGTGTTTTGATTCCTTTTCTGTTCAATTCTCTGCAGATGTGTAAAATCCCCCACTTAGCCCAGAGGCTGGATCTCCTGCTTACCATCCGTGAGCTCCCTGTGAGCATGAGAGATTTGGAGCCGGTAAGTAACCTGAACACTTCACAGTGTGTTTGTAATCAAAATCTACCAGTTAGATAGTAGAGGGTCAAGTGGCCTCAATGCAGATTTCAAAGCTGTGAAGTTGGGAGGGATTGTTTTGGTTTTTTTTTTTTTTTTTTTTTTTTCCCCCCCTGTAGCAAATTATCTCACAGTCCATAATGTGAGCAACTCATAGCACAATTATCTGGCCAGCTCAATGTGTCAAAAAACGCAAAACAAAACCAAGAAACAAAAAACTCAAAAAACCCCCCACTAAAAAAACCCAAACCCAACCCATTTAATTTCTCTGTTAAAAAGTAACAAGCAAAAAAAATTAAAAATACTTCATAAGATCTCTATAGGTCATGGCTTTCATAGCAAAGGAGTTGTAAGTGATGTGAAGCTGTTAAGAGAGCCTACATGTGAAATACAGTGGCACTACTGGCTGGTGCATTTGGAATGCTTTTGGGAATCCATTTCATTTTATTTGTATTGTTAATGATGGTATTGCACAGTCCTGGTTCAAAACAAAACACAGTAAAAGAAAAATGGAGACGAATGAGGGCTATGATACGCGTGTCTATATATGGATGTGCATTTAATATCATCCTTATTCCCCCAAGGTTCCAGAAGCAGTTGTTAATGGGCCTGGCAGTGGAATAGGCTTCCACGAAGGAGGGAGGAAAGAACAGGAAAGGATTTTAGAATTTTTTATTTGGTGGTGGTAAACTTTCCTCTTTCTTTGGCCAGTGATAAGACAGAAGTGAATTTCACCATTAAAATTAAATTCCTTTTGTGGGAAGGTTCTTGCCCTACAAGCTGAAAGAAGAGATCTGAAGTCACAGGTACTCAGAGCAAGTTTATTTGACCAGCATTTCACAGATATTTACTAATTTCCTAAGACTTGAAGGAGGCTGTTCATCCTAAGGATTAGATCACTGAATTAAAATGTTGCAAACCAGAGTTTGAGCTCTCTGCCTTTTTCAGGCTAGCCTAGGGGTGGGGGGATGTAAATGAACAGTATTCCAGTCTCATGGACTGGATCTTCCTGTTCCAAACCACTGCCTTACCTGCCAGGGTTTGTATATGCTATGTTTCAAAACAAAATATTTCAACACAATTCTGTTTCTGTGAAAACGTTTCAAAGGTTTTGCTCTCATTCTGCATGGGAATGAAAACAAAATATGAAAGTTCTGCAAATCCAAGTTGTTATCCTTTGTCTGGCTGTGGTTAAAACCATAGTAACAGTGAACAAAACTCAGAAGAGGAACAGATGGAAAGCACTGGGGAGATGCACAGATTTCTGACCCTGCCGGGTGTGATGCTACACCTTTGCTGTCCTCCTCTGGAACCAAATATTTTAATAACTGCTTGCTTTGACAGATATTTAGTGTTCATTGAAGAGCTGATTGGTTGTCCTAGTATTTTCTTACTTATACATGCTAACATATGTTTGTAAACCATAGTTTATACACCTAAAATTCTATGGGACAATATGAATATTGGCTCTATGATGTGCTATAAATGTTTTAACAATGGCTTTCAACACTCCTGCCTGTTTCATCCTTTCCCTGTTTTTAAATTTGTGTGTTGGTGACTGACGAAGAGAGGTGTGGTGCTAAAAAAATACACATTTCCTAATTTAAAACAAAACCATCTCTTGTGTCTATAGCCCTAGAAGGGAGGTGGCTTCCCTGGGAAAACAGAAGTTGATATTGAGTTTGATTATAGGAAAATATTATTATTGTGGGGAAACTGTGCTGGGAATTTAGATAACAGTCTTCAGCTGCTATGGACAGGATGGAGGGAGATGAAGGATGGAGAACCTCATACTGTGCTTTGGGCTATCTGCTTCCCCCGATGCCTGACATTTGGTGCAATCTGGTGCATTCAAACAGCAAACAACTTTTTCTTCAGAAGCATTTTTAAGAGATGAGGTTGAAGTAGCTTTGGCAGGGCTGGTTTGGCAGCCAGAAAGGTCGTGACCTCCCTTGGAGGCAGGGTAACTGTGCCAACAGCAGCTTCACATCGATGGGAGATTTTTGTCTGGTCCTTCCTGAAAACCCCTGGCTGGTGTCCCAAGGGGATTTGGACAGGGAGATATCCATCAGCTAAGGTGTGACTTGCTTCAGGTGAGGACAATGAGGCTTTTGGCAAAGGGAAGGTATAGGCACCATTGATTTACTCACATTTTCAATTTGGACTGAAGGAAGATTTGCGTGTTTCAGCTAATAAACCAGAAAATCCGAGCAAGTAAGCAGCTGCAGTCCAGCCAGAAGTTTGTTGCTGTCTTGGAGTACATTTTAGCCATTGGGAACCATTTAAATGAAAAGGCTGGAAAAGAGAAGGCCAAAGGATTTAGACTGTCATCTTTGACCAAAGTGAGTAAATATTTTTCCTGTCATTAAAATCATCATATTCTAAGGTATGTTAGCCATTAATATGAACTCAGTTTTGCCCTGAATGTGGAGAAAGGCAATCATTTTTAATGAGTAGCTAACATTTTAACATCTGCTCTTGGTTACACAAGAAACAAAATCCTGTTTTAACAATGTGTTCTTTAATGTGTGCTATAACAAGATGCATTTCCCCATTTTACACAGCAGCGTTGGCTAGATGGGGGCACTGGGGTGTCAAACACACTGTGTTTCTAATGAGGTAGAACACCAGGATGCTGACTGCCCTGATATGAGGATCCCCTGCCTGGAGGAGGTGTCTGAGCTGCTGGCCCCTGGCTAGGCGCAAGTTTAGATAAACTCTATCGGCAGCTTTGTGCAGAGCACTGCTGTATGGATCCTTTTCATTTCACTGTGGTCAGAGGCTGTCACTACGACATTTCTTCCATGGTATTTACACTTTTGTGGCACTGGAGCAATTTCTTAGCCCTTCATTTTACTCCAATGCAAAGGTCTTTTGCAACAGATGGTACCATGCCGTTTGAAGGTAAAATTTCACAAGTAGAATGTAAATAAGTTAATAAGTTCCAAGTGAGTGAAATTTGCCTGAAATGGTTTTAACTGCCCAGTCATTGCTCTGCTGGATGATTGACTAGGGGACGAAGGTGGCAGTTATGATCTTTACTCTTTCCTGATAGAGATCTGCTCTACAAGAAGCACCATCTAGCTGTTAGTACTTTTAATTCTCTCTTCATTGATGTACAACTTGTGTGACATTAGGCTTAGCTTTCCATTAGTTTTAAGGAAACTGCTTTATCCTCTTCATCAGAATTTGCCATCAGAAGAAGCTGCCACTGAGCACAGGGTTTTTTCCCCATTCCTCCACCCAGCAGTGGCAGAGCTGGGTTATTCTAAAAAGTAAAATATAAATACAAATTTCCTAAGCTGTCCTGTACCTTTAACACTATTGTGAGATTATTCCTGATCTGTGAATAAAAGAGAGAAGAATTTTTTTTTTTTTTTGTAAGGTATCTTTCCCATCTGAAGACTTTAATATATGAGTGAGTGATTTATAACTCTAGTGACAATTCTGAGACAGAACTTGCATTTTTTTTATATATATATGTAATGGCTGTAATACACCTATCATAATGAAAAATGCCTACAAAATCATTTTCTGCCACAGAGCGTCTTCCCAGATTCAATTAAGGAACTTTACTGTCTTTATGAGCACAGGACAGCGCTTGTAAGTGGAAAGGAACAATGACTGTGTTTGGAGGTCCAAAATCAGTTGCAATCAATTAGGATACCTTAAGTTAAAAAAGACCCCTATTAATAAGAAGACACAACAGAACAAAGAAGGTCAACGGATATGAAAGTATAAAGCTGATCTTTATCAAGAATGTCTGTGAAATGGTGGATTGAAAAGGAGAAGTTTAATTTGATTGTATTTTCTATTCTTGTCAAATTTACATGGGAGCTACCAACATCCCTGCTGTTTCTTTTTTTTTTCTTTTTTCTTTTTTTTTTTTTTTTAAAGTATAATAGCTCAGTCTGTCAATTATTGCTCTATTCTATTTGCAGTTAACTCTGCTGCGGGGTAAGGAGAGGACGTTCACCTTGCTTCATGCCCTTGTGGAACAGATCTTCTTACATGAGCCTGATTTGGCTAAATTTTCTCAGGAGTTGACAGAATTTGAAGCTGTTCCTGATGGTAAGAGGAGCGAGGGGGAAAAAATAATCAACAAATAAAAAAAAGAAGTCCTTCAACTTTTATGGAAACTCCCATCCTCACAATATGAATGATACTTATTAACATTGTTTTCCTATCTCTTCCTTTCCAGCTTCCATGAAGGGCCTCAGTGCTGAAATTGATGGTATGTAAATGTGTTTTCTAAATTCAGAGAAAGATTTTCATATGTTATGCAGTCATTTGGAACAGGTTTTCATTACACTTCTGTAGTTTGTAAAGAGAGGTAAAGGTTCAAAACAATGAGGTAAAGTGTTTCTATGGTGATACTTAACCTGCTGTGTTACTGTGAAGAATTTTTAAAAAAGAAATATTAAAGTGTGTCCAGGTGGTTTAGAAATATAAAATATATACTGCCCATGGTAAATAGAGTTTATCATAAACTACAAATGTTAAGTGATACAAATGCTCCGTCAAAGTTATGGCTGTAGCAGAGTCTCTGGGAGCAGGCAATGCAGCAGGAGAAAACTTCTTTGAGCCATACCGGTGTTCTTCTCTAGAAAGGAGTCCAACACCAGTGAAGTCAACAGGAGAATAAGGTTGTTGAAATGTAAGATAGACTTTAGGAGACATTTACAACTTACCATTGAGCAGTATGACAAGGTGACCAGTGAAGTCAATGGATTTTAGATTGAACCCTTTGAGAGCTGAGAGAGAAGGTATACGAGTAGATGAAAATTACTTGTATTGTGCTGAAAGTTTACAAAAGAAATCTATCTTTTGAAAATGTGGCATGGATGTTGACTGTAACTACAGACCAATATATGCTGTTTCAGCCTTTGATAACACACCTGAATGATAGTCCCACTCAGCTTTTTGTTTGAAAAACCCTATACTGCTGGGCTTTGGGAGTCGGCCAGGCGTGTAGCTGGAGGCTGAATTCTATACGTTCTATATGTAACTAGAAATAACGCTATTTACCTTCAGTCACTTGTGTTCTTCAGGGACAATGTTGGTAGCAATTCGAAATCACTAAATATTTTAAAGACAGTTTTGGAAAGTCATGGATAAACTGGTACAATAGGCATGGTACCAGAAACTGCTGGGAGCTGCCAAAGGTGAATTATGGGAACTGGAGGAGACTGGCCTCTTCCCTCCATGGACTCCTGACGGGCCCAGTGCAGACTATCCTTATCTTCTGAGTCCTGTTCTTCAGGGCACAGAGAGGGAAGGGGGTGGATCAAATGCTGCTGAAACAGCCTTTCTCGCTATGTAGTTCAAGGCACATCCTGGTGCTTATCTGCTGCGAGTCTGGCATGAGCACGAGGGGAGGAGGCTGTTAGACTGCAGCCTGGGTCGGTTCAGGACTGAGCCCCTGGAGCTGAGGCTGTGCCCTCTTCTCCCCACGTTTCCCACCATGAGAAGTCCTGTGGCAGCTTTCTGATGTAGTGCTTAGTGCCAACTGACAAGATTGTTTACTGTTACATAGAATTTTTGTTCTTTTATCTTTAAAGGAACCCTGAACTTTCTATTTTCTATGTTATTTTCATTGCTAATCCCAATGCTCAAAGCTAGGAAAGGTCAAATTTACGGCTGCTGCATAACCATACTATTGACCTCTTCATTATTCTGCAGTTGCTTGTGAAGTGGTCGTGTACTATTTTTCTCCATAAGAGCCATGCCTCTTTTAGGATTGCTATTTCAAAACAAAATGTTAACATTCTTAAGTGAACATTATAGACCCATATTCTCCTAAATTTTCCATTTGTCTTAAATTATACATTTGTAGTCCTTTGGATACAACCGCATGCTAGTGAAATCTCTCTTTTTCTTTCTCTTTTGTCAGTTTTAAAAAAAGAATTGGAGAACGTTATTCAATGCAGGCGGCTTATTAAACCCAAGACAATCAAGGCAACACCCCAGGAGTCACAGTTCTGCAAGGAACTAAAGGTAGTTATCACAACCGTATTGTGGGCTGGAGAGAAAAGATGAGTAATCTTATTGAGTCCTGCCATGGCAAGGGGTCAGGAGCATTTGAGGGAAAGTGTCTTTTTATTCCCCCTGATAGTGTCTCATACCATAAGCTGCAGCATGGGAAGGGCTCTTCAGAGTTTCTGCATCTTCTGCTTTTGCTTCCCAGGCAAGTGGGCTGGAGTGGATGAGGAACAGATAGCCCCACTGTTGCCCACAATAAGCACTTTGGAATAAGAGCAATTTTAGAGCCTATATGGATTTGTAATATCTTTGTCCTCGGACAGAAGGGAAAATAGCATAGAGAAACATCATCCAAGGGCATGCCTATGTTGTGAGTTAAGATGATTCTGCCCATGGTGCTGGCAGAACGAGATGGGCTGGAGGCCACAGTGGAGAAGTGGCTGAGCCGAGCCCAGTTCTGGGCAGAGCCATCTGCTGTTCATCTCTGCTGCCCCAGGTATCTTTGTGCTGCACATCACTGGGTACTGTTGGCATCTGCTAAAGCCCCACGTTTCCTTCTCCCTTGGGACAACTCAATGCTGTGCTGCTTCCGTACATCCCAAGTTGTCCTGTATATGTATATACATATATGTGAAGGTACATGTTACAAAGGAACTGTGGTTGAAGAAATTTTGTTTCAAAAGTTAAGTTTCTAAGGTCTTGTTTTGATTCCTTAAGAATTAGCAACTGGGAATGTTTACTTCACGTGCAAAAAGGCTGGACTATGCTGAAGGTGGGGGGAAATCGGGACCTTATGATGCTTATCTAGTTCTGTCAATTTTAATAGATTTAGGTAGTGTCATTGGATGATACAGTAAAAAATTCTCTAACATTGCTGTTTCTTTTTTTTGTGTTTGATGTCTTAATACTTGCAAGGAAATGTGTGTGCTTGATGTATATTCATCTTTTGTGAAATGTGAAATTTTTGTGACATGAAAATTTTGACTTGAATTATCTTGTTTTCACTGCTGTTTAATTTCTGCTTTAATATTATGATCGTATACCAAATTAAGAAATTTTATTTTATTACAGGATTTAATTCAGAGATATGAAGGGGATCTATCCCAGCTGTCAAAAAAATGTGATGAAATGAAGAAGCTTTATAGCAACATACTGGTACATATCATACTAAAATGCAATGAAAAGGAATCTACATTTATTTAAGAAAAAAAAAAGAGAAGAAAAGTGCAAGAAGTTCCCATACTTCCACATGCTTTATAGTTATACTGTCCACAGAAACTGAAAAAAAAATCACACCTAATGGTGGTGGAATATTTTGAATGAAAATGTGGCTTTTATTTTTCTTGAGGACTTGCAGCCCCCTTTCTAGAGGGTCTATGGCCCTAGTATCAAAAAGAGAAGTAGATGTTCACCAATTTCATAAATTCAGTGAGTTTAACTGTTGAATGTTTTCACCATGTTACAGAAAAGATGTTATGGAAAACAACATGCTTTTCCAGTGCCTACCAGCAACCATGTCTTTGGCTGGTGGGCAGCTGCAAATCTCTTGTTACCTGGGCTGAGGGCTTTTTCTAGTGCCAAGCTCATAGTTCAGGGCATTGATTTAGCTGCTGTTATTCGAGTCTGAGAGAGACAGGGACAGAGATGTTAGTAGTAGCACAGATCTAAAAATGAGCAGAGCAGAAAGGAAGCTCCACAGGCAGAAGATTTCTGATAAAGAAGCTGTCTGTTCTTGTTTGTTCCTATTATGTTCACCCACACTTGCACCGGAGAAGCACCTAATTTTCTCAATCATTTTTTTCCTCTGAGCAGAAGCAACCCATCCAGCTCCAATACACTTGAAAATGGTTTTTGGGTCAGAGGGTTACACCAGAAGAAATGATAAAAGCTCCACGCTGCAGTTTTTAACAACATATCATGTAGATTCCTCGTTTAGTACAATGTTCTTGGAGTGTGGCAGAAATTCAGGACGCCTCTGCTATGGTAACAGCATTCTCTGGCAGAATAGTCACACCAGGAGATTTTAATGAAAGGGAAAGAATTGTGGGGACAGAGTGCTAATCTCTGAAACGGGAATGAATTCCTGATCCTGGGATTAGGACACTGCTTTAAGTCTTTAAGTGGTGGTGGTGTTTGTTTGGGGTTTTTTTTGTGTGGGGGGTTTTTTTATTTTTATTTTTTTTTAAGAGTGGGAGGATTAGAAGTAGAGAAGTTTTATGACAAGGAAGTGTTACACAGAAGATGGAGCCAGGAAGATGTTCGGGGACCTGTCTGAACAGACATTGAAGATTACTGAGATGTTCGATGAAGGAAATTTAATTAGTAATGTTTTGCTAAAAATAATATTTTAACAGTGTGCAAGGGTTTCTTTGTGTCTCTTGCAGCCTTTCACAAATGGGGAAAATGCCCCAGCATAGGGTAACAAGACAAATTTGTATGCTAGCGCATGGACAAGGATCTCTGTCCCAAGCCTTCAAAAAATGTTGAAGGACTGTCTGGGATAAAGCAAGAAGAAAAAAAGGTGGAAAAATAGTGTGAATGAGAGAATTAACAGTTGAGTTACATGAGTGGAAATGGTTGAAAAACCATTTCCTAAACCACACCTAAAAGTGGGGAGATTTGTGCTGTAAAACCTTTGGGGGGACACTTCTTGCATGGGATATGGAAGAATTTGACCTATTTTACCATCATCTTCTGAAGGAGTTAGGGTCGTGTGGCCGGTCCTGCTGTCTCAGGAGCTGTCTCATGCCCAGTGAGCACTGGATGTGCCCTCCCACATGTGCACACTGTCACACTCCTCTGCACAGACCTTGTTCTCTCCAGCTGCGTACATTCAGCCAGGAGGCATTGCACATGGGATGCTGTGCTGCAGAGATATACATGAGGCTCTTTGCTTTCCTTTCTTGTATTGGAAACTCCCATCTGAGACTCTTATTTGCATCTGAGGAGAATTTCATTTTCCATGTAGCTGGAAGTTTCCTCAAGTTTTAACCTGGCTGCTCTTTGCTTCCACTCCCCCAACGTTCTCTAAAGTTAGACATTTGATATATTTCTCTCTCTTAGAATGGATTATTTTCTTCTGAATAATGTTATTGCAAGGCATATCTTTTTGCATATTTATAAAGCAGCAAAAATGTAAAGCAAATACAAGATAGGATGGGTGATCAAAGACCAGGCTACCATCTCAACAGCACTAGAAAGGAGCGGTCCAGCTTACCTGGGGGAATATCTGATCTGGAAATGTGTTGTGGGTAGCCATGGAAATCATGTTATACATAAACCAGAAATCCACAGGCTTACCTTTATGATTTTATATTCTACTTATAAAATCAATAATGACCTTGGCACGTGACACTTCTATGGAATGAACAGTAAATGGGGGGTAACTGCCTGTGGAGTGGCTGTGGGCTATCGGCTTCTCACAGATGGTCAGTAGCTCCAGGAAATGCCTCTCACCTCACTGTGTAACTGATGGTACACCATGGGTGAGTGGCGAGGCGTGCCAAAGATCAAGGGCTTGGAGCACTCAGGAGGTGCAATTAGAAACACAACAGGCAAAACTATAAATTAGGTGTCATTAATGTTAAAGTTTTTGTGACTAGATTATATCTGAGTGGTTTCTTTTACTGTTTCTGCTTTCCAGCCAGAGGATTTGCTCCTGAGAACATGTTAGATGATGTCTATATGAACATATTTAGCTAATGACAGACACCAGCCTAAACCTTTCTGCGTATTTCAGTTCCAGTCTGGAATACTGAAATTCAACTACATCGCTGTTCAGCCTTGGGAGAGCTGTATCCCCCACTTACAGCGTAGTTCTCAATTACAGCGGAGAGAAGAACTTACAGCAACACAAGATACCTTTTAAAACTTCCTGATGAAGCCTGTGGAGCATGTTCTCTAGATTTGTTCTGCTCAATTAGAAAGCTGTTGCAGGCAGAGTTATGTTCCTTAACTCACTGCTCCCATTAAGCAGGAATCTTTGAAAATGATGACAAACCTCATGAATTAAACCCTAGCAACAGATTTAATATAAAAACCCCTTTCCTCTCCTAGAACTGGAGAGCCTATGTGGAAGTGATTTTAGTTAATGCAGGGATCCCTCTCCTAGTACTGAGCTCTGTAGTGTGACTGCCTCTCACCTCTTGTTCTATGCAGAGCAGACATGATGCCAGTATTGTCCACGCCTTTTCCAAAAACTTCCCATCTGTTCACCTTTTTCATGTGAAGGAAAGAAGAAGACAGGGAAAGGTGGCTCTTTGATAAATTGCTTTTTCTTCCAAAAATGTGTTTTTCCATATGAATATTTTTGCGTTTTTGCAAAGCAAAATGACAGAAAAGGAAAACTTTTTGGCTTGAACATGCTGCTGCCATGCCCACTGTGCAATATAAACTATTTCTATTTCCCTAGCATACATATTTTCTTTTATGAATGAATTCATCTAACAAACTGCAGAGCCAGGAAGCTTCATGATTTTTCTTCTCTTCAGCCAGAGGTCTATAGTCCAGCCAGTGAAACTAGGTTGTACAGAACCCCAGGTTACGGAGGTAATTCAGTGACAACTCCTGGGGCCACTTTTTCTTGGGAAGTTTTGGATCTCAGCTTGCTGGAGATTTTAGCCAGCTGTAAGGTTTTTTTTTTTTTTTTTTTTAATTCTTATTCTTTATTCTTATTCTTTATTCTTATTCTTGAAGGTATTTAACTTTTATCTCGCTCTTTTAATTTAATTAAGATCCTGGACATGGTTTAGATTACTTGGATATACTAATGTTAACTATTGTGCTCTTTCAAATTTACAGGTAAAATTTGGGGAGCCACACGACCTAGACTCTCAGGAGCTATTTGGATGGATATCTTCATTCATTAGTGAGTTTAGGAAGGCCTGTGCTGAAGTCATGCCATAATGACAACACAAATCTTATAAAGAGGGGAGGTTTTGAAAGAGAAGTCCAGGGAACAATGTTTAATTGGTTTGAAATTTTCTCTGCTGATAAGTAGCACATAGACAGTATAT